AATTTATAAGAAGAGCCCTAAATTAATTCTTTCCTTCTTATTTCTGTAGCTTTGAGCTGACAATGAACAATTTAAGGCTCTTCTTATAAATTCTATAACTTTGGAAAGAAAGGTCGTGTAAAGCTGGGGGATGTATCATTTTAATTAAAAATTTGCGCGCTACAATCCTGCATTATTAAGAAAGGCTTAGGTTATTTTTTGGGATTTCTGAAAAACTGGTTTTCCAGAAGACTGGATCTTCGAAGAGCTATGGGCCAGTCCCATAATCATATTCGGAATCAGCATGGTCGATAACCTATAACTCACTAGATGTTGATCAAAAAGCTTTTAATCACCTCGAAAGATTCTCTCGTAAGTTACATTCAATTATACGTTGAATATGGATTTTTGTCATGTCATAAGAAGAATTTCAGAATTCTTTCGAGAAATATTCTATTGGATTAATCGAGGCTTTTTTCAATTATTAAAATATATCTGCGAGAAAAAAAAACTTGTCATTCAAATATATTTCTTTTCGGTTCGCCACTCATTGGATATGTATTCTAAATTGGAAGGGCAACAAATTTGAGTACATATACGTAAACCCTCCCAGTTCATTTCGAAGAACTAACCTAATCGTGATTTGTTTTTTTTTATCGCTTCGAACACATAGATTTTTTTCGAAACTGATCAATTTTGAATCAAAATATGTACCCTCAATTAACTTTCTTTTTATATGTTGATGATAAAATTCAGATGATTTGATAACATAGTAATACGAATTTGAAGATGTGTACAGTTATGCGTATTTTTCTCTATAACCTATGAAAATAAAGGCTAAGCTAGTATTTGTCTAATTACATCATTGTTTAAAGAAAATTTCAGTACTGAAAGAAAATACCTTGCATAAGCAAGTAGTAACTTTTTCTGTTTAGTGCAATTTGTTGTGAAATAACATTTTATGATTTTTTACGAAAATTTAAGATATCAATATGATATATCATGCTAACATAGATTTATAGTCTTTCTCAAGAAAAATCTAGACTACATTGTATTCTCATTCTTTTCTTTGAAGTCGTATTCAAATTTTTTCTCTCTCAATTCTGTTAGTTGTTGTTAAGAAGAAGAATGTTAGTTAAGTTCAAAACTACCCAATACAATCTGATAGCTCTGAATTTCACTGAAAAGAAAAGGCAATCCATATTTCATTTTTGAGAATCAATGTCTTGAAAAGAAATCATTCAATTTATATGAGACTTTTAGAAAATACTATTGACTTCAAGATGCATCATCAGCAATAGTTTCAGACAGAAAGGGATTTATATGAGTTTTCCTCAAACGTCATGCCAGAAACGACTATATCTTTCGACGAGAGGATTGGGCGGTGAGTCTATGATTTGTTGTCGATAATGAACGGATCTATCATATTTCATGACTGAAACTAATCCGGATTGCATCGATAGCATATATTAAACGCTAGAAAATACATATGTTAACTTACCAATTCGTATGAAAATTGTATGTGTTATCAAGTTAATCGAATATCTTGGTAACTCGGACGATTTATTAATTATGATTCAAGTTATCTAAAACAAAATACACAAAGAAATACATATGATATACTGTTCTTATGAGTACTAAATGCGTATAGAAATATTTCGTTTAGGATTATAACATGGGCTTTTTCTCAATATTTTTATCCATTTTATTATAAGGAGAATACCAAGTTACAAGAGTTATAACGAGGGTAAGGATGATTGCACACAGATATCACACTTCAGAGTTGATCTTCCTAATCAATTGATATTTGATTTGGAAGCACAATGACAGTCCAAAAAAGAAATAAAAGTTTAATGACTTTCCTAGATTAAATCAGCCAAATAAAAATCGTGATGCTATTTTACTTGAAGGCATGATGGACAAAAAAATAATTAAAGACAAATATACTTGTACAATAAACTAATGATATCTTGTAAAATGCAATAATCATTCATGTCTGTACGATGCAAAAACTAATCCTAGTGAGTAGTAATTAGTTGAGAAAACAAAACAGATTGTGATTTTAAAAGTAGAACAAGCATCGGATAATATCGTATTCACATTTTCATCTCTTAATACTTTCAATAAATACGGACCAGCTAATACACCAATAATGATTATTCCACATTCAATGTGACTGTTTCCACACCAATCATTGGTTTGGCGCACAATTGATTGATATACTCTAATATAATCTGGACATTGGTTATTCTTTTTCATAATCTCACTAATAACAATAATAATTAATATCCAAAGGTCACGAAATGTAAATAATACAAGTTTCCATAACATGGATAAAATAAATTTTATTATCAACATGAACCAAATTGTGCACGTCTCTAGCAAAACTGGACCGGTTAATACAGAAATAATGATTATCCAACGCTTCATACTATCATGCTTACATCATTGACGGGCTGCATTCTTTATTTTTTCATATAATCTAATATAATCAGAATTTCTATGCTCTTCCATCAGAAGTTCGCATACAAAAATGACGATTACCAACCATTCGTATCGACTTGCAAATATGATAAGTTTCCAAGCTATATATAAAATAAATTTAATCATGGGTATCAACCAAATAGGAGATTTCTCTATTAAAAATGGACCGGTTAATAGAGAAATAGCAATTATTCCACGTTTGAGTTGATTATCGTTGCACCATTCGTCGACTACTGTCAGTATCTTCTGATACCAACCAATCGTACCGAATTGGATATGAGATAAGTTTCCATAATGAAAAAACGTGGGACTTGTCCGGAGCAACCAAAACTGGAGGGTTTTGTTGAAGTTTTTCTTGAGAAGAGGACTGGGTTTGGTCTATTTCTTGGGAGAGGGTGCTGAAAATAGTTTTCGCTTCCTCCGAAGAAGAATGAAAATTTTTGATGATTGGAGACGTGTGACACTCCGTACATCCGTCGGGTTGGATCAGTCCTGGCACAACCCTATCTTCTTTTGGAATGTCCACTGATCTCTTTGGAAGCATATAAACGATTTAGCGCATAATATTGAAATGATAATATATAAGTAGATATATTAATAACCGTTTCATTACTTGACCTGCAGTAAGTACATTTGTTGACGTTGAGTTGGTTGATTGTCGTTTTGGACCTATAATAATTTGTTACAAAATAGTTTCTTTTAAATAAAAGAAATGTAAATATAGAAAATAAAAATTTGAAAATCGTGTTTTGTTAATCTTTTTAATATTTTCAAGAGCTTTTCAATATCGAAAATTTTATTGATATGGACAAATGACTTGATCAGGATGACTTGATATTAATAGTTTTATCAGACAAAGTAGAAATCCAGCACTAACATGAATATATTCTAAATCAGCTAATTAACGGTTTCTTTCGAAAATGTATAAGAAATTGTTTGTTGAGTATAAATCATATTCGGACCTGCATGTGATAAAATAACTTTTCCAGTTGAACGTTGAATTTCAAGACAAAACGTCATCAAATCATCTGTATTACAACCAAGATAGAATGCAGTCGATTCCGCTGCATATTTTCGTTCGTTAATAAAAATATAGTGTTGAAATGGTAGACCATTATGTAAATATGAAGCCTGTTCATGATACGAAGCATCTTTTGTTGATGGTTTTTCAGCAAGATAACAGATCAAACATTTAAGTGTTTCTTGTTGTTTATTGGGATCAATTTGTTCATTCGATAATGTTAACATCATATCTCCATTCATAACTTGCCAATAAATGTACATCGTTATATCATTTGATATATTTGAATGATCACAGATATTTCGTACACAGATCCTTTGAATTATTTGTGTTTTATGCGATCAAAGTAATAAAAATACCTAGTCAACTATTATTTTTTATGATTCTTACAGTACCATTCATTCCCCCTGTAATTCAGCCATTGTGCCAGCCATTCTATATAGTTTCGGGCATAAAGTTGGGCAACCCAGCGTTCTGGTAAGCGTTCCACACCATAAACAGCTCCAGCCAGTTGTCCATATATTGCCGCTGTTGTGTCCGTATCATCGCCTAGATTGACAGCTTTTAGTGCACCATCTTCGAACGAATTAGAATCCCAGAATGCCCACAATGCTGCTTCTAATGCCATAACAATGTAACCCTTGCCTCGAATACCCGCTTCATATCCCTTTTTTTTAAATGAACCTTCTGCGATTGCTTTGATCTCTGGAACTAATTGATCATCTCCGAACCACTTTTTTTCTAAACAACTGTGATAGAACTTGTTATCTAATAGGTCCCTTTTTGAATGATCGATCATAGCACCACATATTAACGCTGCATAATAACGACATGCGTCTCTTGCTTTGATATCACCGTGCGTGAGAAGAGCTGATTCACCAGCGTAATATATAGCATCACGAGGTGAGCGAAAGAAAAATAATGGCAATGGTGCTAAACGCATAAGCGCTCCATTACCAGCCACACCCTTTTCACTACATTGAGTTGAAAAGTCGTTATGGAATTTTTTCGATTGTTCAGTCGTCAATGAGTCTATAGATTCACGTGGTATGTTATATTTTTTGATGAATACTTCTTGTTTATCAACGAATTGGCCTAATGACTGACTCGTGGCATGATCAATATCAAAACAACGACCAGTAGATGTCATGTAACCGTATTTCCACCACCACTTATAACGAACTAATTGATCATATGCATCAAAACCCTGTCTCACGATTAAGGAAATAGCTAAACAAAGTCCCATGGATGTGTCGTCTGTCCATTGTCCTAAAAATTAAAACAATCAATTGTGTAGCATACTTCGTTTAAGAAAAAAAGAAAAGTTCAAGTAAAGCTCTTAAGAAGATTTTTCACTTGCGCACTCAATGATCTTTATCAGGACCACAATGGATGCCCGATGAATGTCTTTTACGACTTGACGAACAAAAGGATGTGAGCAGGTAAAGCTTAAATACTTTTCCTTTCATTTTTTTGATTTATTTCGATTAGAAACGTGTCAGAAGATTACTAGGAGTACTATGGCTTATCTTTCAGAAGTTTTAATAACAGATTTCTGACGTGTGTAGTACATCTCAGGATTTCAGAAAAACTTTTTGTCACTTAACGTTTTGAAACTATGTGCATTGGATGGAACTGATTCTGAATATCACGTCTAGAGTCGAAATAAATGATGATTATGTCATGAACAAAACGCGAACTTTTTCAAAAGAAAACGTCACCACCCAGCATTTGTCAATTTCCAGCCCGCCATTACGTCAGACAGTCGTTTTAAATCATTTAAAAGGAACGGAAAATTATGAGAAAACTCATGACTTTTAGAATGTGTGATAGAGATTCTTTTTTATTCAGTTCCACACGTTAAAAATTCGAGATAGTAGCCGAATTTTAGGATTATTCTCTTATTCAGCCTGCAATTTTGTGAGGTAAACTTGAATTAATGTGAAAATTCTAATAAATGTACAACGTTTTATGCTTTATTGAGTTAGCGTGTTAAAAATTTTAAAAAAAAAGAAACTTTTATGATACTACAAAGAAAACTACAAAAATACGCGGTGAAGTTTTCTGGGTAATTTCGCGCTTTCTTCATAACAACTTAACTTTTTTTGAGCTCTTAGACGTGATATTCGAAATCAGTTCCGTCCAATGCATATAGTTTCAAAACTTTAAGTGAGAAAAACTTTTTCTGAAATCCTGAGATGTACTACACACGTCAGAAATCTGTTATTAAAACTTCTAAAGATAAGGAATAGATAGTACTCCTAGTAATCTCCTGACACGTTTCTAATCGAAATAAATCAAAAAAATGAAAGGAAAAGTTTTTAAGCCTTACGTGCTGACGTCCATTGCTTCTAGAAAAACTGCAAACCTTAATGTGTACCATTCTAAGTCAATGCATCCGAGTGGATCCTAGATGATTCATTTTATTCTGTGACTTATTATTCTTCTAAATACTTCCGCTAAAAAACATTTTTAAAAATAAAATAAGATCTCTGAGTGCACTATGTACTTTCTGTTAGACTACCAATAACTTTCCTTTATTTTTACAAATGGGTTCCCTACCTTTCTCTAAACCCCATGTACCACCACCTTGTAAATCTCTGACTGGATGTTCCACGAGATAACTGTGTGGGCGAGATTCAACATGTGCACCCAAAGCATCACCGATTGCCATACCAAACATAGAACCACACATTTTACTATTAACAGTAGTAGCAGTCGATTTAGTTTTAGACGCTGGGTAATTTTCTTCTTTTATGCATGGTGGTCTATCAAAAATCGTCCATTCATGTAGTCTACTACTGCCATTATTTCCATTACGATGCAATTTAAACCATTCTTCATCTAGATCTAAAGTAAAAACTGAAATTAAGCAAAGAATACGTGATATGGAGGTTAAGAACAATAGTTCCTAACTAACAATTGCAAAGCGTCCATTAGTCAGTTTTGCAAACTCACCCAACGTTATCGAAGACTAACAATTATGAGACTTATTACCATCCTTGGCTAGTGCTTCATCATGGCGTTCAGAATTATTGAGTGATTGGGGCGTGAGATTTCCAGGCGAGTCATTTTGTGAAGCTGGTGTGTCTTCGTTGATATTGTATCCTACGAAAAATTATGAAAAGCAGGAAAATGATAAACTGTAATGCTAATAGCTGCATTAAGACACTCATCCACTAAAAGAATGTGTAATTTTCATAAACATCTTCCTACAGTAAATTTCTACAGAAAATAGTACCAGTAGCAACTCTGTAAATGTCTTCTGAAGATGGACTGTTGTCCGCACTATTGTGACTCACGTTACAGGCATGCAAATGTTTTCCTACATCACAAGATGACTCATGATCCATTGCACCATCTTATGGAGCATCTGACTGACCTGTTATATCAGTCAGATTCACTGAAGATCTTGAAATATTCATCGATACTTCATGTACGATATCGTACAAGTANCACCATCTTATGGAGCATCTGACTGACCTGTTATATCAGTCAGATTCACTGAAGATCTTGAAATATTCATCGATACTTCATGTACGATATCGTACAAGTATGAACGTATTTCATCGGTTATTTCAGCGCTTGTGGTTATATGATCATTTGAATGTGATGAAATATTTGTTGATACATCAGACATGTTTCTGAAATATATTTTCTGAAAAAACAGACTTTAGAAGTTTACACTCACAAGTTTTAATTTTCCTTGTGTTTATTATTATAGTAGAGTGGAAATATATTATCAAAATGCTTAATCCACTTTCTCCGTCGCGAACTCTGCTTCATGTTATACACAGAATATGTTTGAGAAAATTTTCTGGTGTTTTACGTGAACCATCGACAATGACGTATTTATAAAAAAAGATTATCGTTTCCATTAATTTTAGAAATTCTCACTGTTATGGTGACCGGCTCCTCATCTATCATCTGCTTCTCCAAAACCGACACTTCAAATATTCATACTCGAAAAGCAAAGTAATAATACACTCTAAGGTCTAACAATTAAATTCGAAGTAGTGAATAAGTAATGAAAATGCAATGTCGTCAAGAAGAGATATTTATTAATAAGAGATATTCTCTCCTTCCTCCAGATAAAAAAAAATTAGGTTCATTTGTTCAAAGAAGAAGAAATTCTCTGGATATTATTTATTTTCAATCAATTATAAAAGTTTTCATCACAAATGATGTTTGATAGTGAAGAAAGCAATCCTTCTTCGTACGAACTATTTACGAAATCTAGTGTCATATTGGTAACGTTTAACGAATTTTTCTAGAAATAAGCAGTTCTTTTTACTGATTGAACAATGCCACAACAAAATATTTATCGTTATACAATTCAACTAACGCAGTGATCTGACAAAAGTTCACGTTTATTCGAGTGTACTGATCGTAAATACTTATCGTAATGGTGTCTTCCTAAAAATTCAAATACTATAGCTTAGCTCACTACATAGATGAGCAGTCCTTGTCTTAATAAATATCATTAACGATAAAATCACTTTTTAAACAAAGGAAATACGCACTGACATCCATTCCCGTCAAGATTGAAATCCATTATCCTTTCCACTAAAATCAAGACGTGCATAGAAGAAAATCAAAAATTCATATTATCATGTCAATCTCATTTTCCTTTCTTATTCCAAAGACAGAGTCTGTCATGATCTCAGACTTTTATTTAAGACAGTATCCCCAAGAATATTGTAGGATGAATGCTTCTGGAAATATACAACGGTAAAAATAACGGCAATACTCATATGTTCTTTCTTTAGGAAATCGACGTTGTTACTGATGTAATTTGTTCATAATAACATAATTCGACATAAAAAGGAAAATCCATTCCTTTTAGGAGAAAAGACAAAAAATATTCATTTTTTCTGACGGAAATAGGTGCCTACTGTCTCTTTTTTAATATATTTCACTATTTCCTCTCGCCATCGATAGAAACGTTTATGGTCATGCTTCATTGCACGATATAGGGAAAAGATTCTACTGGTCTAAATACCCGTGGAAGAATTGAGTTCATCTTCACCATAAAAGACCATAGTTGATTCAGACAGGTGAGAAACTAGAAAGATTTAAGCCAAATAAGATATAAACATGCAATAACAAAAATATTCTATAGTATTGGGATTTGAACAGACTGTAACATATACAAGTCAATCACTATTGATCTTTTGAAAATTAGATGGGCAAACACACCTATCAACAGAACAGATATATCCTTTCCAATATTTTCTATAAAAATTACATGCAAAAACAGGAAATTGTGCTATTCCTATCGGTGATCCTAGTGACATGTGTAATGTTGATAATGACGCAACTCAGTGTCAGAATATATTACGCTGTTTGTCAAACGAACAACCACATCGTCGTATTTCTCGAAGGATATTCATATTAAGTGAACTTCAGAAAACCGATTTTCAGAGACCCTTTCCAGAGTCGTATGTGAATCCTCTAAAAAACGACTTTCAGGCATGAATAGTATTGGATCCATAGATTATAGCGGTATAGTTCCAACATTTGGAACACTATCCGACGAGAAAATCGAACTGGAAAGTACGCTATTTTTCGTTTCTATCGACTTTCGAGCTCAGCCGTGCATCAACCAAGAGACTTGTATAGATCGATTTCATAAGTCATAGTAAAGGTATACTTGTACAATGGATAGAAGTAACATTCAATGCTATAACAAAGTTTTTAGGTTAAAAGAAGTAGGTAAAACTGTTTGTCTCAGCAAAATTCTACCATCTTGTGCGCATACGTTCACACATATGTAAAACTTATTTTTGCATATGCTCTTGGTTATAGATAGTATTCGATCTCGACTACTTATGCTGCAAATACGAGCTCTTAATCAACTTCCTAGGTCAAGATATAAACATCACAAATTTGACTTTTATACAAGTATCGTTTTAGGCTATTTTTAGGGTTTTTACGAAAAGCTCTATACCTTTTTAACGAAGTCCGAACGAAAAAATTTTGGAAATCTTCCTGTATATGTTGCATCTACCTACGGTAAAAGCCTGAGTCAAAAACTCAAACATCGATTGAGCAACTTTCGCTGTCTCACTCGTGCAGTGACTGTTAAGGTATCTTGAACTCAATCAATATATTTATGTGACATGAGATTCTAATACAAAGTATACGAAACTTATTTTGTAGCAACGCTTCAACTCCCGATCCTATTTGCTCAATCACCTATGGGTAATGGAAAATATATACCAGTTATGAATATCAGATATCTATATCTTAATATACATAAGTTATGAGTTATTTGATTAGCCTCATCGGAATCGATTATGATTCTATTAATATTAAGAAACACAAATATATTTACCTGAATTTTGAATTGATCGTTGAACTATATTTGATGGCGAGAATGCTGTTGATACGTTACGATGCGGCTGATTACGAATATTATCATAGACTTGATCGGATTGAACATTTTCAGTAGTTGTATCAGAATTGTTCAAGGGCTTAGATTCTTTTTCGAAGGTGACAGAGAGATTTCGTATTAGTACCGTATGAACGCCAGCACTAACATGAATATATTCTAAATCAGCTAAATTAACGGTTTCTTTCGAAAATGTATAAGAAATTGTTTGTTGAGTATAAATCATATTCGGACCTGCATGTGATAAAATAACTTTTCCAGTTGAACGTTGAATTTCAAGACAAAACGTCATCAAATCATCTGTATTACAACCAAGATAGAATGCAGTCGATTCCGCTGCATATTTTCGTTCGTTAATAAAAATATAGTGTTGAAATGGTAGACCATTATGTAAATATGAAGCCTGTTCATGATACGAAGCATCTTTTGTTGATGGTTTTTCAGCAAGATAACAGATCAAACATTTAAGTGTTTCTTGTTGTTTATTGGGATCAATTTGTTCATTCGATAATGTTAACATCATATCTCCATTCATAACTTGCCAATAAATGTACATCGTTATATCATTTGATATATTTGAATGATCAATTTTATATTGTGTTAATGCTTGTGAAATTGTCAATGGTAAAACATAATGATCTCTGAAATCAGTAGATGGTATTGTAATAACTGAACCTTGTATAGGTCTTGAAAGTGAAGGAGTATCACGTTGACCAAATTTAGTTATTAATTCCTTACTAACAAGTTCTTCATATTGTTCTCGAGATTGAAATGATACAACTGATAGATTATTTTCGAAAGTAGTACGAATTGTTTCCTGTTTGTTGGCATCGAATGAATCAAATATTGATTTTGTCGTATAAACATGTTGAATATAATCTAATGGAATTAATTGTGGCAAATGAGCTTCGATTCTTCTGTGTGATTCTAAATTCTTCCAGCCGTTAAGAAGTGTTTCTAAATTAATATTGATTGTTTTCTCTCCTTCATTAGGATTTGTTACAGCAATTAATTCAAGAGCTGTTGCATATTCATAACCTGATATTGCAACATGTAATTTTGTTTTGTGAAATAATTCAATTCGATCTTTATCTGTCATTGGATCAGGTCTTAACCATGGACGCCATATAAAAGCTTTTCCACTAGCGTATGATGTTGCTGATTGAATTGAAAAATTGGCATCAGGATGATGAAGAATTTCGCGTTTAAAAATAATAAATATATCACCATATTGACCTGAATGTGGTCCAAGAATACTAAAGACCGTTCTATTTGTTCCTAAATCTTTATCTCTTTCATAACCAATACCTGATGGCTTTAATTGGAGTTCAATTGAAGAGGTAGCTATTTCAATTGCTGTCGATTTAATTATTTGTAAATCTTCTGCAGTAATAATTTTCAAAAGACTAACTTCTATACTAGCAATGGATTGTTCATCAAATTGTGGATTATATATATCAGGAGATGGTGGTTCATTGCCTGTTGTTGATTTATTTGTAGAGTTGGTTTTAAATACTTCCGTTACCAAGGCAGTTATGTATTCTCTCGCGCGATCATTATAAGTTTTGATTCTTAAATGTTTTATTTGTTGTATACGAGTATGTTGAAGAATTGAATGAATAACATATCCTGGTTTTTTCAAATTTTCCATATAATCTCGACTCATAACATGTCCATGCAGAAGAATCGATTGAAAAATATCACGTTTACATCGATGAACAGGTTGAACAGTGCGTATCCAATCAATAATATCCGGTGAAATAGATTGAGATGATAAAATTTTCCAATTTTTCTTTTTGACATAATTTATAACACGTTCAATATTCTTCTGTTGATTTTCTACAAAATTAATACCTTTATTTAAATTATAATAACGAACTACACCACTATCTCTAGCTGAAAATCCATGTCGATATCTAGCCAGATGATCTGAATTATGACGATATGAACATTTATTTCCATCAATACATAAGAGTCGAATATCACGAATATTTGAATGTGTATATGAATTCAAATGATCTTCGTGAATAAGTTTTTTGCATTGAATACCATCTGGACAATTAGGACGAATTATATGAAT